CTGGTATCCTTCCCTTGTTAGATGGAAGCGAAAGTAAGTGGAATCATTAACATCAGAAAGACTCAATAAGGAACAATGAAGTGATGGACTGATTTATTGGTCATTGAGAATAGAAAAGGGAAAATTTAGGATGGGGTAAAGTGAGTTCAACGTTTAGGTCCAAGATGTGTAGATCTGACATGTACATTGACTTTAGCAAGACAGGCAGAAAATTCAAACTAGGAAACTCTTACCAGCTTCAAACCTCAACTGCATTTCGATAATAGTCCTATACTGGAAATAATCAGAAAGCGTCCAATAAGTTTGGCACAAGAAAAGGGTAGCAGCACAAAAGCACACTGCCATCCACACGCGCCATCCAAAGAACGAAGGAGATCTGAAAAAATGATTGGTAGGAGGACTTCAATTAATAGTTCGAGTTCGAGTTAAGAGTTAACGAAGGTCGAAGAAGGAGTAATTTTCTAGCTGTGCGGACCAACACGCAATTCGCATCGAAGATATGCCCCGGCGATCTAACATGGCCTTCCCTTTGGCGCAGTTGGCGCGGAACGCCCACCGACTATCTAATCACTCGCCGCAGGTCTATACGTGGCGAGTGATTAGATAGCAGAGAGAGCGTAGTGTTGAAGAGGGCACAGCGATGAGAGTCGCATCAATGCGCAAATCAACGGGCAAGGAAGGGGTCCCATTTCTCGGGTTTCGGGCCGTTTCATGGTTTCTTCTTCATCCCTGCTCCACTGACCACCTCTACCCTTATTTCCAATGAGCTACTTTTCATCGTAAATTCTGCCTTAAAATAAGCCTATGAGGCCGAACTGCGTCAACCGTTGCCAGTTGAAAACAACCTTGTTAAGAGAAAAAATCATGTCATTGCAAGCTTTGGTCTGACTGAAAAATGAGAGCTTAACTGACAACCAATGCCAAGGCCAAAACTAATCGGATCAGTCGTGCTCTGCCGCTTTCATTCGAGAGGTGTTCTTATTGAACCGTTTCCAGAGAATCTATTGGTCTGTCAGTCGACTGACGAAGTGAACAAAGTGAAAGCTATCAACGAAAACACCTCACCCTAGGAATGGTACACCGTGTGAGCTAGTCCTATTGCAGAAGTCCTTGAAAAGCGTCTTAATGTTTGTATATCGGACGTCTTCGGAAGAGGCTGAACGAACAGATCGTCGCGAGGAACGACGGCGACTTGAGAACAGTGCCGGCACCTGAAGGGCCTGAAGATAATAACTGTTACGACAACTTACCTGATCATGATTCTTTTTCATTCATAGCATTCACAGCATCGCAGACTACATTTCTGAAGAGCTGGGAGTAGTTGTTTTCTTATAGAAAAATTGTTTCTTCGAAAAATAGTATGTTAAAAACGTTCGTTTTGGAGGCAAACGGTGTTCATTAGATGCACGCCTCCGATTTTCGAGGTTCCTCAAAGCGCCACACAGTGCACTCAAGCTGCATAACTGGGGTCCAAGCAGGCCAGCGAAAATTCTTGTGAAATGAGCACACCAGAGAATTACACCGCTTTCTCTACACTTGATGAAAACCAGCTGTCGCACAGTTCAAAATAATCTGGTAGCCGGAGGGCTTGTCTGGTCGCTTATCGGATCAAATCACATTAATATCTTGAAACAGGTACTTGAAGGGCAGGGATAGCCGAGTGGTTAAGAGGTTAGACTCATGTCTGCACCTCTGAAAAACCGCGAGTTCGATCCCTGCCGAGGCTCTAAACCATGCCTTGCAAAAATTGCAAAAATGGTTCTAGTACCAGCGTCAGGCCCAGGTTGACAGGCCGGCTGATGAAGACCCCGTCACAACAAATATGTCTAAAGTCGAAAAAGAATCAGTGATAAAGCTAGGACGTCACCCGGAAGTGGCGCGCAGAACCCCCGCCCGAGTTCTGTGGTCAGTATGCGAGGGCTACCGAGGAGTGAACGGCCTCGGCCAAAGAAGCTAGTTCGAATTGGGACTTTGAACGTAGGATCGCTAACTGGGAAGTCCCGAGAGGTTGCTGATCTGATGACGCGCAGGAATATCCAAGTCCTGTGCCTTCAGGAGACGCGATGGAAAGGCGCTAAGGCCAGGAGAAATCGGGGAAGGTGTCAAGCTCTACTACAATGGAGAAGACACCAAGCGGAACGGCGTGGCCATAGCGGTAGCGGAGTCGCTCAAGGACTATGTCTCCGCTGTGAACAGGATCAGCGATCGGATCATGGCTGTGAGGATAGACACGAAGGAGGGGTACTGGACCATACTCTCCGTGTACGCACCGCAAGCCGGGTGCCCCGAAAGTGATAAGGACGAGTTCTACCTGAGCCTGGACGAAGCCATAAGATCGGTCCCGAAAGATGATTACCTGACCATAGCAGGTGACCTGAATGGTCACGTCGGTAGTGACAGAAGAGGCTTAGAAAGAGTGCACGGAGGTAGAGGGATAGGAACAAGGAACGCTGAGGGAGAGAGGGTTCTAGACCTGGCTACAGCCCACGACCTGGCAGTCTGCAGCACGTTCTTCGCGAAAAGGGAATCACAAAAGGTAACCTACAGCAGCGGAGGGAGACAGACGGAAATCGACCATGTGCTGGTAAGAAGATCAACCCTCAAAATGTGAAGGATATCAAAGTTCTACCCGGCGAAGACCTGGCTCCCCAGCACAGGCCCCTGGCCTGGCAAGACCATTGCGATAGCTCCCAAGAGGGCAAGGGTAGAAGAGAGGAAAGATTTTTTTTTTTGTTTTTCGGTGGTGAAGCTGGCCGCCACCGGAAGATGAACTCAAGCGGAGGGTACTCGAAGCTGGCCTCCCGGATCCACAAGGACCAGTTCAGCTGACATGGAGCAATGCCGCTAAGGTTATCCTGCAATGCGCCAAAGAGGTACTGGGAGAGACGCGAGGTGGATTCAGAGGAGACAAGGCAGCGTGGTTCTGGAACGAGGAGGTCCAGCGAGTCGTGAAGCAGAAGAAGGAAGCATACAAGCGCTGGCAGAAGACCCGGAGCCCCGAAGACCTCGCCTACAGGAGTTGCAAGAGGCTCGCTAAGGCTGCTGTCGCCAAGGCGAAGAACACGGAAATGGACGCCTTGTACGAGAAGTTGGAAAGCAGAAACGCAGAGAAGTTCGTCTTCAGGCTGGCTAAGCCCGGCATCGGGCTACCCAAGACATCAGGGGTGGTGAAAGAGGTAGCAATGCGTATAATAGAGCCAGTCGAAGTAGCAGGGTGGAAGAAGTTTACTTACGGGGCTTGCTGACGAGGGGTTCCCAAGAACGACTCAAGGGCAGAGGCCACAGCTGGTCCCATCGCACTCTGGACTAAGGATGAGGTTAGGTGTGCACTTGGGAGGATGAAGGTTGGAAAGGCGGTTGGCCCAGATGGGGTGCCAATCGAGGCATGGAAGGCGCTGGAGAGTACGGCATAAGGTGGCTCACCAGCTTCCTGAACAAGGTAACAGTGGAAGGAAAGATGCCGGATGCATGGAGGACAAGTACATCGTCCCCATCTTCAAGCAGAAGGGCGACGCAATGGACTGCTCCAACTACCGCGGGATCAAGTTGACTGCATACCATGAAGCTGTACGAGCGACTGGTCGATCGAAGCTGCGGGAGCTGGTCCCGATCTCCCAGGAACAGTTCGGGTTCATGCCCGAAAGTCACAACGACGCATATATCGTAAGGAAGGATTGGGAGAGAGTATCGAGGAGAAGACGCGACCCTGCGAACGAGCCTTCATCGGACTGGAGAAGCGCTTTCGGACTGGCACCCGAGCAGTGTATGGAGAGGTCACTAGGGAGAACGAACGTGCCAGAAACACCGTGATCCCCTGTGCGGAGGAATGTCGAGGAGCGAGCAACGATACCACCGTCCGCTAACAATAGAAGGAGATAAACATCACGGTTGGGGTGCATCAAGGGTCAGCTCTGAGCCCCTTCCTGTTCCTCCTAACGCTCGATACCATGGTGAAGGGCCTCATGGAAGGACCACTGAAGACCATCCTCTACGCTGACGACATCGCCCTGATAGCGGATAGTAGAGAGGAAGCTACAGGCCAAGGTGCAGCAATGGCAGAAGGTCCTGGCAGAAGGCGGGCTACGGCTGAATGTCAAGAAGACCAAGTTCCTGAGCTCCGAAGAGGGTGCAGAGCCGATCGTAGACGGCCATGGTGAGACCATCGAAAGAGTGGAGGACTTCCGCTACCTTGGGAGCGATCTGGCAGCTGATGGCAGTGTGGATCAGGCGGTGAAGGCTCGGGTCAACACGCATGGATGAAATGGAGGGAGTCCACTGGAATCCTCTGCGATCGAAGGTGCTCCAGAACGCTCAAGGGAAGGTGTACCGACAGTAGTAAGGCCTGCGATGCTATACGGCAGCGAGTGCTGGCCCCTGAACAAGAACCACGAAAGGCAGCTTCACTCCGCTGAGATGAGGATGCTGAGGTGGGCCTGCGGCTGGACGCGGCTGGACAGGGTTAGAAACGAGGATGTCAGAGCGGTCATGCAGACTGCCCCTGTCCAGCTGAAGGTACGGGAACAGCGTCTGCGATGGTATGGGCATGTGCTAAGGAGGCCACAGGATCATCCGATAAGAACAGCGATGGACTTCGAAGTGCAAGGCAAGCGACCGCGAGGAGCCCCAAAGAAGAGGTGGAGAGATGTGATCAAGAAGGATCTAAGTGAAGTCATGGCCACAGCAGAGGACGCCTTGGACAGTGGCGACGACTGACAAAGGACAGCGGACCCTGCGACTGCGCGGGACTAACGCTAAGGGAGAAGAGAAGAGTAGGATCTCGAAACGGTACATCAGCATTGTCCACTTACAACTGCGCGAACTGTGAGTTTTCCCTAACTTTTTTGTCCAATCAATGATTTATGTGACAACAATTCGCAGGGCATTCTTCAAGTGGGGTACTTTCAAGGCAAAGCCCTTTTGTTAATTGGAACATCAGGCTCGGTTAAAGTATCTAGCAAATGTTTAAGCCTTCTATCACGATACAGTGATCAGGCTGCTGTGGATAAGAATAAGAAGCACATCCCGAGCTTGAGTTTGGCGTTCTTGATTGTTTCTATAACTTTTGCCTGTTAAGGATGGCCCGTAAGGCAACCAGGGTCTTACCTATTCGCGGCCAGTGTCGACGACCGGTTAGTGACGACGAGATAAGATGCATTCGGAGGATTGTGTGAATTGCGAAGAAAACTTACTGTATATTCGTGACCACAACCGGATGAATAACCTGGTTGCAATTTTTCCCCCAATGAAATGATTGAAAACACGGTGCGCCATGTCGGGTGGCGGTTAGACGCCGGATTGGCGCCACGCCCAAAAATGTGTGGTATACTTGATCACCGGGTGATTATCAAGTTTTAGAGTTTCAGGAGAAGTCATATTTTTCCATTCGATCATTCACAAAGGGTCGCGAGGGCATGTTCAAAACGGTGGCTTTGATATTTGCAATCGCGTCCATGCCGGAAAGCGGTGCAGGGAGAACGAAGCGCATCGGCGCATGCAGGTTGAGAAATCATAGGCGCCGCAAACCAGTGTGCAATAGATAAGTTCCAATATTCTTGTTGAACATAGTAATCGCGAACGTATTCAAGAACTGCAACACATCGATAAAACAGAAAAGATAAAATTATTTTGACTTGTTTTTGTTTGTTAACTGCTGTTTTTGGCCGCAGTTCGCCTTGCGAATGTTTCACAAGAATGCTGGGTTGTGAACAAAACTTTCGCCCCAGGCGGGACTAGAACCCGCACCTCTCGCTTTCCGGGCAAGTGCGCTACCAGTTACGCTACCGGGGCACCATTTCATCCCAACTCAGCTTTTTTGAGTTGGGATGAAATGGTGCCCCGGTAGCGTAACTGGTAGCGCACTTGCCCGGAAAGCGAGAGGTGCGGGTTCTAGTCCCGCCTGGGGCGAAAGTTTTGTTCACAACCCAGCATCTTGTGAAAGCAGTCGATCCATCGAGCTTTTGGCTAGGTCGACTGGCTGTGAATTTCGGTTAATATAAAGATGTGGTTAAGCTCAAAAAGGAATCTGGCTGGTAATTGTTCGAAAACATGAGAGGTCCGTCCGGAGGTGTCCCGTTCTGTCATAAGTCGCCAGTTCTACGATATTTGTTTCCGCATCTAATTCGTAACTTGTACGTATCTATTATGAGCCATCAGGATATTCAAACTTGAAGGTGGATTCAGGGTACATCCGAAGGCAAAGAGTGGGAGGTAACGAGGTAAGGAGAAGGTGACTGCGCATTGGAGTTCCGAACTGATCCTTAGCTCCGCACGTTACCGCGCGCATGACGCGGTAGAGTTTGATGAAAATGAACAGCCTTTGGAGCATTAGGTCCCACCACTTAAGAATGCAACAGTAACTAGATGCTTCGTAAAATGCTCCAGCGACCGCTCCATGGGCTGCCCATTTTCGCTGAAGCTTGTGCATGGTGGGATGCAGAACTAAACGGGCCGTTATAAACAACCACCTCTGGTCGAATGTCGCGATAATTTAGCAGTCGAAAAATATTTGAAGCTAGGAATTTTAAAGTCGAAAGATCCAGTAGTCATCATAGTATTCCCTCAAACATCCATAATACATTCTCAGGAAATTTGGGCAGAGTAGTGGGTGAATGAGCTTGATGCTGACAATGGCAATGGCAAATGGAAAAGAAATGTGTTTCTTGTTTAAATTCTGATTTTCAGTGTCCCCAATGCCCTTAGGCTGGTCGCTCTTATCAGCTTTTATCGGCTGTAATCACTTTCGGTCCGTCCACCAAATATGTTCCAGTTCCACCCTCCACATCGCTTAAACCAAAACCCACTGCCTGGGACACGCGCTATGAATTTCGTGACATTGCGTTCCAGCGCCTCTTATCAGCTCTTATCAGTCTGTTATCACTTTCTGACCCCCACCAAATATGTTCCCGTCCCACCCCCTATATCATATCAAAAAATCAGCTCCCGACTGCTGCGACGCGTGCTATGAATTTCGTGACACACACATACAAACAGACAAACTTAGCGTTTTATATTGAGGAGTATTTTACCTAACAACAAGGGATGATGGAATGTTTTCTTCTGAGTAATGCTCTACAAAAAAAATAGAAAAAACAACTCAAATGAGCACAGGGTTCACGAGATTTTTCAACAAAATCCCATGAACTTAGAGGTAGATGGTACGAAAAATTGGAGGTCGAAGAAAGTCAGAAAACCCACTTCAAAGTGAAGCAGATTCCCAAGTTGCAGCCGTACCGGTCTAACAGGACACTACCTGCGGTGGGGTTTTCTTTGCGGATGTCCACAACCACCGGACAACCCCGCTTCAGGTCTCGCAGGACTCGAGCGCTTTAGCAGACAGGCAGAGCAGAGCGTTCAATTTACATCACTATCGATGAGGCTTACTCAACACGGAAATCAGCCAGAGTCCAACCCCGATTTCAAGCCGCAGACCTTAGTTATTTCCGCAACACCTTCCAGAACTTTAACATCATTTCCAGCGGGCCACTGATTTATCGCACCATCTACCTCTTGATATGTACGAACATTCAAATTGGGATGAAACTCATAACTGCATATTTGTTCACCTTAAAGTTGTCCTCGATTTCGGCATCTTCATAGTATTCCTTTTCGTCCATCGGCGCTTGCGCCGCCGCCACCGGATCACGGCGCTTCTGGAATACGCCGTTGAAAACTATCTTTTCTGAAAACATCGCTAAACCTTAACACACATAGTGGAACGAGTTAAACCCTGATCATATTCAATCATTTTCCCAGTTTGTATGCGGCACTTTCCATTTTACAACTGACTGGGAAGCACTGAGACCCCAAAATTATATTGCAAAACAAGCCAACATTTTACAAAATAGCTGTGCAGTGTTTCACTTAATCCGCGGCGATACCTTCGTCTATGATAGAATAATTTCGATCGCTTATTCAGTTCATGTTCGGGAATATTATTAATCCATGCTG